AGATACGGACTAGTGGTAATTCCAAAAACAACCCTTTTATGTCGATACGTGATTAATCTTCCGTCTTCTGTGTGCCACAGGAATCGTAAATAATCCCGGTCTTCTTCTTTTATTCCAATTTGTAAAAATGCTTTCTCAATATCGGAAGAGACACCAACTTCATATTTCCGGAATTTATTTAAAAGTCTTGGTATAATTTCTATCAAATTGGGTCCCTTATCCAGACAGTCATTCAGGGAAAGTTTACCTCTCTTCCGGGCCGACGCATTGAATACTGGCCGTATTCTAGAAGTTTGACTGTTCCTTTTATACACTGGTCGATGTGGCAGGTAGTGTACACCATCTAGTTTATCCTCTCTGGCATACTCGATTATCCCCTGTTTCATCCATTCTTCAAAGATTTGTCCATACTCTTTCATGTCTCCAACTTCTTCAAGTTTTCTTCTTACAGACCTTAGTTGGTTTTCGGCTAGATCTTTATTCGAAGGAATCCTTTCCTTGTCTTGCACCCAGGGTAGAGCTACCTCATAGCGCCCCTCGATATCTCGCGTCGTGGTGTGGGCGAAATGTTCCTCCATTTCAGCTTGTAATGACTGAGTCTTCTTCTCAACCTCCGCGTCAGAGACTCCAATTGCATCTAATTTCCACAAGTTTTCTAGATCCAAAGATAGAAGTGTGGTCACGCAAAGGGAGCTGATGTCATCTCTCACCTCCGTTGGAGGAATCTTTCCCATCACAGTCCATCCTAGTTTGGTACGGATTGCCACCAGTCCAGATGAGATCCTTCTCTGATCATCAGTTAGCAATCTCCCGGCGATGTCCGCGCCTATAAGGACTTCTATACGGTCTCTCATCAAATCAGACACGTTGAGTTCTTCACTCCCTTCTAACAATGATCTTGGACACACCGGAGGTATGCTTCCACAGATAAGGGGTTGACCTAGTGCTTCAAACTCACAGCGATAGGAATTATTGATGTCAGATAAATGAATGGTATAGACCTCATGTTCAACTACGTCGGTACTCGATCCTCCAAACAAGGAATGCCGGAAGAACTCTCTCCTAGATTGTTCGTATTCCATTTCCATTGCTGTGCTATGTAAAATATACGATCTTTGGGATCCGGTGTCTATTATAGCCCGTGCCGTCTTCTCCGTTCTGTTCCCTTTGAGGGTCACTCTCAAAGTAGGTAACAAGACGTCTGGGGAGGTTGATAAGTTGGCGAGAGTTTCATCTTGCACCGTTGGAGACTTGGAAGATCCACCTCTATCTAAAATCAGTTTTGTGCACATGACATCCAGGTGGGAAGACATGTTGCAGATCGAACAACGGACTACATTTCTGCAAAATTTACTTAAATGAGAAGGCCGAAGACACTTATAACAAACGCCTTTTTTCTTCATGAGTGATCTCTTTTCGTTTAAACTAATATTAGCTGCAAAGTCACACTTAGGGCTTCCATGGTTGTCTTTACCACAAAATACACATTCATTCGATTTGTGAACTGAATTCAAAAGTTCTGAAGCTGTCGCAATTGGTTTTTCATTGTAGAATCTTGTCTTTGGATGTTTGTTTATCAAATTAGGTTTAGAAGTTGATTCATTCCCGGTACCGATTTCGTTTCTAAAACTCTTCTCCCGTGCAGTTAATTGTCTTCCCAGAAAGGTAATCAAGTCATTAATTACATAACCTGTCGGGAGTTCTTTGTTCAATTCCAAATTAAGGTCTGCAGGTAGAAGCTTTATTATTATCGGGCACAACAGTTGTCCGTAAACATCAATGGACACGTTTAGTGACTCGAGACTTCTTATATGAACAGAAAGGTTGTCAAAAAGTTCGCGGAAGGTTCTTACATCGCTTGATGTTTTGAGTGGTCTCATTGACAACAAATTGTTCATATGTCGGCTAATCAAAATGTCTTCTCGCCCAAATCTGTCTTTAAGCAATTTTATAGCTTTCTCATAATTGTCCGCAGATAAAGCGAAACCTTCGACTGTGTTTAGTGCAGTTCCGCCGAGATGTGACTTCAGATAGTTAAATTTATCGATCGGGTTCAGTGAGTTGTTCTGGTGTATAGCTGCATCAAAAGAATTCCAGAACGTCAGCCATTCACTAAAGTTTCCATAAAATTTCGATATCATCAATTTCGGAAGTTTCACAGTCGTGCAGGAAGGTACATAATGTCTCATTTCGTTTTCGTCTATTCGTGAGTTCGAATTCGGTATATTTTCGCCATGAAAATCTGATTGGCGAATCTTTTTATTTGCCCTAAATCTCCAAGTAATATATTTCTCTCGATATTCCTCTACGCCCTGTAATTCCTTCTCTAAATCGTCAGTTTCAAGAAGCGTTTCTATTTCGTGATCCACTACTTTAAGTTCGTTAAATGATTCATTCAATTGTTCTAATAATTCTTCAAGTTCAATTCTCATTAGCGTGTCAAGTCCACTTTCAATCTTATTGCATGTTTTCGTTAAATATGATCTGTTAACAGCACGCTTCTTTTTTAAACGTAGAATTAATTCTTCCGCCATCTTGTAAACAAAGCGGCAAGTAGGGTTAGCTAGCGAGTTCCAAAATGGTCAGCTCAAAATGCTTCTTTTTTTTTCTTCTAGAATTTACCTTCAACAGTCCCGGCTGGGATGCCAAAAATATTGCGATTTCACCGCCACTCTGTGTTGTGACGACGATCTAAATCCTATAGAGGTAGTCACTCACCTCTATTCTTGGTCGGCGGGGTTGAAGGTTCAAAGTTAAGGCGTCGTTGTTTATAACACTTTTAAAATATACGACGAAAACAGGAGGGAAAATTATATTTATTACAATTTAAGAAAATAAGTAAAGTATTATTTAAATATTTACACTAAAAGAATCGGAGATCAGGGCAAATTCTAGCGTTCTAAAAAGTTGTTTACAAGTTCTTCCTGTATTGTTTCCTCATTTTTGCCGCTGCATCCCCGTAGCTGCCTCCGCCGGCCTCCCATTGGCTGCTTCGGACGTCTTCTTTTCCAACACCCCCCCCCCCCCCCATTACGTCAGGGATTTTCGCAAAATCGATCTATATAAATAAAATAAAAATATGGGTCTGTTTGTGTGTGTATGTTTGTTCCTTATATAAATTTCCACAAGGTTTTTACAAAAAATAATAAGTTATTATAGTAGTTATTAGTAGTAGTAATAATAAGTTGTTATAGTAAAAAATACCTTGCGGTAAAAGTTATTTAAACATTTTGAAATTCTTTAATTAAAAAGGCATATATTGGATCAAAATATCATTTATTTTACCAATATTTCAGTTGGCTGAACACCAATCTTTATCAAGGTGTTATAACATATTTAATGTGTGTCAACAACAAACTTAAAATTCAATAATAAGGTCAATAAAAATCATTCTATTTATAAACAAATGAATTCCAAACAGAGGGAAAATACGGATATTTAATTGTTTAAAATGTCCAATGTAATTCAGCCGATTGATTCACATTCAATAAATAAAATATGTTCGGGACAAGTAATTATAAATTTGGCTCAAGCTGTCAAAGAACTTGTTGAAAATAGTATTGATGCTGGTTCAACTTCTATTGGTACGTCCAGAAATGTTCTATACGAATAAACTTATATATAATAGATTAAAATGTGAACAATAAGCTACTTAAAATATGCTTTTTTTATGGGAGATAAATAAATCAATCATCATAATCATTGATAAATCAAAATTTTAGCTTTTATTTAACAACTTTCGAGGATTGTACCAGCATTATTGTAATAATAATGGCAATACACTTGAAACAAAAACAACAAACAAATAAAAATGCCTACAGCTTAAATAAAAAATAAAAAAATAAATATTTTTCAAACTTCACTGTAAGTCATATACTTTAATCAAAATAGATCATTTGATGAAGGTTATATATAATTTGACTTGTACATTTAAAAAAAGGGGGTAACTATTCAAATTTTAAATAAAATAACAATGGCCATTATATGTGAGTAACAGTTACCTAGAAATTATTTGAAAAAGAAAGAATAAACAACAATAAGGTTTCTTTTAATTTTGCTCGAAAACTTGCAAAAATCAAAATTAAAAGAAACCCTTTACCTAATATTGTTTATTCTTTCTTTTTAAAAAATAACAATGGTTGAACCTCATTATAACAATAATATTGAAACTTGTTATAACCTGTTGTTGTTATAGCCATGGCAATAAATTGGAATCTTATTTTATTATCCCTAGAACACATAGTCCAAGCCATGGTGATATGTTGTGTAGTAGTTGTTAGTGACTTCTTTTACTGTAAGTGTGCCACATATCTACATACAGAAATCCCTCGTTAAGACGAACTCAACGGGAGAACGAAATACCCTTTTTGTCTTAAAAGAATATACAGTATATGGGGTAAAATTTATAAATATATAGGGATAATAATAATATTTATCTTCAAAGGTATTTTTTTAATTATAATACGTATATTCTTTTAAGACGAAAAGGGTATTTCGTTCTACCGTTGAGTTCGTCTTAACGAGGGATTTCTGTATATGGAAAGCAGTTAGACTTATGCATTTATTGGTGTTGCCAGAACCCCCATTTGGTTACTTGCATCATTGGGGGGTTTGGACTTTTGCACGAATCAGAGACCATTTTATTCAGAAAAATGTGCCCAAAGTGGGATTTGACCTTAGTTTGTATCTTATGAAAATTGACAGTTTATTGTCTTGCCGCTTCTCAGTTTGCCAGAGCTGGTGTTGTGGCTTTGTCACCGACCTGAGTCTGCTAGTTTGCTGAGGCCAGTCAATAACTTAGTTTTAGAATCTATTTGGAATGGAGAGGTGACCTTTATTTTATAGATCACTAGCTGAATGACCCGGGCAACGCCCGGGTTTTACCCGATTAAATGCTTTTATTCAAATACTATTCGTTACAATTATAAATTGGCGCCGTGGATGTCATTCTTGTATAATATATAAATGAGTTTTAAAAATTGTAAAAAAAAAAAAAAAAATGCATCGGCCTGGAATCGAACCCGGGTCGCTCGTGTGGCAGGCGAGCATTCTACCACTGAACCACCGATGGTTATGAGAAATGGCCATATTTGGGTATTTATTCCATTCACAAAAGCAAACGGTGACAGAATTGATTAAGAATTGTTGCTTGATTATGACGCTGATAACTGTATATTTTAATTTCCTCCCACCAAAATTTATATTTTAGCCAAAGATTTGGCCTAACCACTTTACCAGCTAACATGAATATCATCTTCCCGCAACTTTATGTTGTATTCTTGACTAAAAATCGGCTCTTGCCACTTCAACAGCTTAAAACACCTGTTTGGTTAATTTGGCCAATTTCATAACCTCTCTTATAGGCTTGATAAGACACAATTTGGATTATAGATTATAAACACAAGGTAATAAGACCAAATCCAAATAAATAGTGTGTGACGTTTCAGCGTTGTTACCATCTTCAGACAAAAGTACTGAATACAGTACTTCATTCAGTACTTTTATCTGAAGATGGTAACAACGCTGTTACCGAAACGTCACACACTATTTATTTATTTGGATTTGGTCTTATTACCTTGTGTTTACCCTCTCATAGGATGTTAAGAAATCGAAGCCGCCCTTGTACTGATGAGGTCTAAAGCCCAAAACCATGGTATACAGGTTGGCTTTTTTTGTCTGAATTATCCAAAACTGATGTTGCGGCTCATTCTTTATCATCACTAGTTTTTTTTTTTTTTACTTATCCTTTTAGTCTAAATTAGACAAGATCTTGGAGGTCGTGCTCGTAAAGAAGCTCAAGAACTCTTCTTGGTTCTCTGTACAGGGATCTTTTGTCCTTTCTGATCTGTTTTGTTTAAAGATAATATATCAGTGATATATTATTACTTTACTCTGTTTTGATCATCTTGTAGACAACAAAATGTTCGACACATAATGAGCACGTGGGTAAGAATTGTAAAAAGAATAAAATAATTATAGTAGCATAAAAATGGTGTACCTTTCATTTATCTTTAAATATATATAAAGTGCAATTTCTTATAAAATAATTTTCACCATTAATATTCAACATTTAATAGAAACGTATCAAATGGCGACGAAGAATTAATGTAAGTATGGCCACCACTAATTCAAATTATCCAAGGTTTCGTGAAGGTGAAGATCTAAATTGTTATTTGGAACAATTAGAAGAATGTTTTAAATTGAACAAAACATTAGAAGCAGACAAAGTATCTGTGTTATTAACGTCTATTGATGTTAATGTTTATAAGACTTTGCGCGATTTGTTGGTACCCAGTAGGCCAAGTGACATTAAATATAAAGATTTAGTAGAGGTTTTAACCAACCATTTATATCCAATAAAAAATAAGCACTATGAAAGATATTTATTTCACAAGATTGTACAAAAAGAAAATGAGCCTGTGGGAAAATTTGTTTTGAGGCTTAAATCTCAGGCAGACAAGTGCAAATTTACTGACATAATGAAAATTTGTGTGACCAATTTGTAAGTGGTTGCTACGATGAAGCTACGCTTAAAAGGCTGCTAAGTGAACCTTTTTTAACGTTTGATAGTGCAATAAATATTGCAAATTCTGTAGAGGCAGCGAAGTCACAAGTAAATTTGATGAAAAATCCTGGTCATGATATTGATAAGTTGAAAGCCAGATCTAATAATTTTAAATTCCCATGTAAATACAATAATCCTTGCAAAATTTGTGGAAAGTCTAACCACGATACGAAGTTATGCAAATTTAAAAATGCTCAATGTTATATTTGCAATAAGAAAGGGCACATTGCTCCAGTATGTTGGAATAAAAAATCGGCCCAAAATTCTGGAATGAATAAACCCAATCTGAATAAATTGAATACTATTCAGTGCAACACATTAGAAAACGCACCAAAAATATTGGTAAATGTTAAAATTGAAGATGCAGACACTATAATGGAGGTTGACACTGGTGCAGACGTGTCTGTAGTTTCAAAGAAATTTTTTCTTACAAATCTCAAAAATGTCACTCTAGAGAAATACAGTGGACATTTGAAAAGTTTTTCGGGAAATTTGATTCCAGTTTTTGGAAAATGCTTGGTAAATGTTAGTTACAAAAACTATCAGGAAAAACTACCTCTAATTGTGACAGGCCAGTTTAATAACCAAACGCCGTTACTGGGCAGAAATTGGATAAGAATTTTAAAAGCTGATTGGCCCAATTGCGTTTTTGATATCTGTAATAATATAAATGTAATTTCAAATTTAGAACTGTTTTTAGAAGCATATAAAAGAGTATTTGAAAATAAAGATTTACCAATTCAGGGCATTAAAGGTTCAATATCATTGAGGCCAAATGCAAAGCCCAAATTTTTTAAATTTAGACCAGTACCCTTTTCCATTAAAGAGAAGATAGACAAAGAACTAGACAGACTTGAACAAAGTCAAATAATTGAAAAGGTAAATGCTAGTGATTGGTCCACGCCTTTAGTAACGGTAATAAAGTCAAATGGAGAACTACGTTTGTGTGGTGATTTTAAAAATACTTTGAATAATTGCATTGAAGATGAGAAATATCCGTTACCTACTATAGAAACTATGTTGGGAAATCTAGGAGGAAACAAGATTTTTACCAAATTGGATCTCTCCTCCGCATATCATCAAATTGAAATGGATGAAGCATCAAAAAATCTGCTAGTGGTATCTACCCATAGAGGACTTTACCGATATAATAGATTGCCTTTTGGCATCAGTCGAGCTTCAGCCATTTTCCAGAGGTGTATGGACAGCCTTTTTCATGATGTTCCCAACACGGTGATATACTTAGATGATATTTTCATTGGTTCTAAAGATGAACAAGAACATTACAGAATTTTAAAAATAATCTTCGATAAATTGAAAGAGCTAAATTTCACCCTTAATAAAGAAAAATGCTTATTTAAAAAAAAAGACATTTGTTTTCTAGGTCATATTATAAATGAAGATGGTGTTAGACCAGATTCAAAGAAATTGGAAGCATTAGAAAGGTGTAAAAAGCCTTTCGACAAAACATCATTGAAGAGTTTTCTAGGGATGTTGAGCTTCTATTCAAAATACATACCTAATATGTCAACCTTGGCAGGTCCTCTTTATCAACTCCTAAAGAAGGACAATCGTTGGAAATGGTCTAGCCAATGCGAAAAGGCATTTCTGAATTTGAAGTTAACTCTATTAAATTCCCAGGCGCTTATTCACTATTCAATGAAGCTTCCATTAACTTTAACCTGCGATGCATCTGCCTATGGCATAAGTGGGGTCTTGTGTCATATTGTGGAAGGGGAAGAGAAGCCAATCACCTTTGTTTCCAGAACATTGTCAAGTGCAGAAGCCAAATACTCTCAGACTGAGAAAGAAGCACTTGCTATTGTGTTTGCAACTTCCAAACTGAGACAATACTTGTTTGGGAGAAAATTTGTGTTAAAGAGTGATCATAAAGCTTTAACGACTGTTTTTGGAAACAAAAGACTTCTTCCGCCATTAATTGCAAATCGCTTGCATAGGTGGGCTTTAGAGTTGTCAAATTTCGATTTCGATATTAGATATACAAATAAAGATACCATGCTCTGTGCGGATGCATTTTCAAGACTTCCACTTGAGGAAATAAATTCAAGGGAAGACAACATTGATTTGGTGACACATGATATATCATTTTTAAATGTAACTCCATTGGACCACCTCATTATTGAAGAAGAAACCAATAAAGATCCGGTTTTAAATAAGCTCAAGAAATATCTATTAGAAGACCCTCAGTTAGCAAAAAAGGATGAAACAATGAAACCATTCCTTTCGAAATTGGACAATTTTTCTATACTGCAGGGATGCATTTTTGTTGATTCTAGGGCAGTGATTCCAAGAACCTGTCAAGATCAAATGTTGAAGTTACTTCATCAAGGTCATATAGGAATCAATCGCATGAAATCTCTAGCCAGATCTTCGGTTTGGTGGCCAAAAATGGATAGTCAAATTGAAGAGTTTGTGAAGGAATGTTCTCCCTGTATGCATCATCAGACAGCTCCTCCTGCTGAGAACACACCTTGGCCCAGGACTAACCAACCGTGGCAGCGAGTTCATGTTGACCATTTCTATTTCAGAGGGGATTGTTATTTATTGGTAGTAGATGCAAATTCAAATTGGATTGAAGTATTCCCAGTTAGAGGTACTACTTCGCAAGAAAATATTAAGCTTCTACGGGAGTGTTTCGCCAGGTATGGATTACCGCAATGCTTAGTGTCTGACAATGGCCCCCCCTTCAATTCGCTTGAATTTAAGGAGTTCTTACGGAAAAATAATGTATACCACTTAACCTCGCCTGCATATAATCCCTCGTCTAACGGAATTGCTGAAGTTTCGGTAAGAATAATAAAAAAATCTCTGGAAAAGTCGTTAGAGGAATCTCCAAACTCAAATATGGACTGTATTTTACAAAATGTTCTGTTCAATTATAGAAATACGCCTACCTCTTTAGATAAGCCTCCTGTAGAACGTCTCCTAAGTTATGTGCCTAGAACATTTGTAAATTGCTTGAACTCTGAATTTATCCAGAGGACTTTTGGGAGGAATGAGTGTGGAAGGCGACATTTTCAAGTTGGAGATAAAGTGCTGTTTACAAGAGTAATACAAAATAGGCGCAAATGGTTCAAGGCCCAGGTGATACGACAACTAGGTTACAATGTTTATCTAGTAAAGAACCTAAAAGGCACATTTAAAGTGCATGTCAATAAGATGAGGACAGGTTCAGATACCAAATATGCTGAAGATTCTGATTGGACCTTGGACAACGCTGGAGCAGGACCTCACCGACTGGAACAAGACCCTCAAATTTCCACGTCACCTCCGCCTAGGAGATCTACCCGACCTCGATGCCCTCCTTGCCGGTTTTCTCCAACTATGTACAATATAAGGAAGGAGGAATGATCTGTTTTGTTTAAAGATAATATATCAGTGATATATTATTACTTTACTCTGTTTTGATCATCTTGTAGACAACAAAATGTTCGACACATAATGAGCACGTGGGTAAGAATTGTAAAAAGAATAAAATAATTATA